TAAGGGCAATACATTAAGAACTTTCATGATCGTAACGTTGTTGCTCCTTATGTTTTAAATACAGGGACCACCGTCGCATTTTAGCTAGTTTTAGATCTGGATCGAAACAGGACGATTTACAACCCCCCAAACCTTTTAGAAAATAGAATTTGCCCGCACTGTTTTAAAATTGTTCATTAAAGTTTGTCGAAAATGAATTTCACTTTATTAAATGTTATGTCCTTTATGATCTTAGAAGTATTTTACTTAGATAATGGTCATCTCTTTTGAAACACTTGACGCATTCATAAAATAACTTCCTCTGTAAGGTTCACACCCAATTGTCAGACATCCCATTTGGCAGGTGACCGAATCATCAGGCAGACCAGTCAAGTGTGACCAGTGTATTCGCCTGGTCTAAACTACTAATTACTGTGCTGCTCTCGACTGTGGGCAGAGTAAGCTATTCACCACTCAAGTGATACAGATTAACCAGATTCATCTTCGCTGGGCAAACACTGGTCTATGTAGAATCATATCGTTATCTGGGACTACGGGTTGACGAGCATCTAGATATGTGAAACTGTGAAAGAGTTGTACAATTCTGCCAGCCATGCTTTGTCTTATCCTGTTGGGTGTATGTCTTATGATGTTTTTTATGAAACTGTATGAAAGTCTTGTTGAGCCGGTAATGTTCTATGGCTCTGGTACATGAGGATAAAACGTTAATCTAATCCAAAATAGAGCCGGTAATTTATTTCTTGGTGTTAGTAACGGTACCTCCAGTAAAGCCACTAATGGAGACATGGGTCTCTCCTCCCCGTTTGTTACATTACATGCTAATGTTTTTAGACTACCCCAAGATTAATAACAGTACTTGTAACGCTTTGATGAAGAAAATGGTTGCTATGTAAAAGTTCATGGAGTACTAAAGTTGTTAAAATTGCCTGTAATCTTAATATTTATGATGTTATGAATATTATGACTGCTCCAATGTCCCGAAAGAAGAAAATTGCCCATATTAAAAACGTTCTCGTAAACAAAGATGAACTGAGCTGGAGAACAGAGCTTTGGAACGATAAACATCAATGTTTAAAACTACTTTCAACTACTTGTTGCTGGCGTACGCATTTTATATTGATCAAACTGTTATTAAGATCTGTAAAACATAACGAAATACAAATTATTTCATAACATCATATAGTTGTCATAATGAAAATAGTATTAAAGCATTATTGTCACATGCAATAATTATACTGTTCGGTATCATTAGTAAACTTTGCAACCACATATTATGTGAAACATTCTATAAGAGGTGAGGAAATTGAATGAAGCAGTGGTAAAATCTAACCATATATACAAAATTGTATATTTTGGAAATACCAACTATACAAAATTGTATATTTTGGAAATATCAAATATACAAAATTGTATATTTTGTATATATGGGTATTTTTTCTTGTGATTTTTGTTTATGAATCCTTGTTTAGTTGTAAACACGTTATGGTTTGTTTGTTTGTTGTTTAACGCCCCACTCAGCAATATTCCAGCTATATGATGGCGGTCTGTAAATAATCGAGTCTGGTGACGTGCATCAACCAAGTCAGCGAAACTGACAACCCCTTCCCGTTAGTCGCCTCTTACGACAGACAAACTGGAGTGCGGCGTTAAACAACAAGCAAAACAAGCAAACGTTAACAAACTTACTACTTGAATGACTTCAAATGTGGCATCTGGTAAAACCTTTACAGACATCAACGCCATACACCCGCACTAATTCGAATATTCCAGAGACAGCATATATTAAAACAAAGCTGTCTTGACCACACAATCCAGTGATTAATATCATGAGCATCGATCCACGCAATTGGGATCGATGACATGCATCAACCAAGTCAGCGAGCCTGACCACCCGATCCCGTTAGTTGCCTTTGACCGCAAGCATAGTCACCTTTTACGGCAAGCGTGGGTTGCTGAAGACCTATTCTACCCCGGAATCTTTACCGGTCAATTGGGATCGCTGACATGCACCACCACCGTCATATGGCTGCAATATCAATTTCCAAACCATGATCTTAGGCCATTTATTACAATACACTGTCTGTCTGTGCGCGTGTTTCTCTGTGTGTGCATGTCTGTGTGTATGTGTATATATGTACGCTTTGAACTTTATTATTTGTCATGACAACGCGTGTCAGATCATTGTGGGACCAAAGACCAAGGTGATGCAAGTCTTACATTTCCATAATCGTAACGAATTTTATACAAAGGCAGAGTCGACTGTCCGTTTCCGACAATATCATAGCCATATGTTTATGAATCATTACCAAACAGTGATGTCACCAGGCATTAACGAAAAGGTGGGCGTACCCTGACCCGTAAGTTCACATGGGCGCATTTGTGGTGCTGGCAAACGATTATAATCAGGGCAAATGTAGGAATCGACCTCACAATCATATGTACGTTTGTTTGTTGTTTAACGCCGCACTCAGCAATATTCCAGACGTCAGTCTGTAAATAATCGAGTCTGGACCAGACAATCCAGTGATTGACATCATGAACATCAATCTTCGCAATTGGGATACGATTTGTTTGTTTGTTTGTTTTTGAACGCTGCACTCAGCAACATTCCAGTTATATGACGGCGGTCTGTAAATAATCGAGTCTGGACCACACAATCCAGTGATTGATATCATGAGCATCAATCTTTACAATTGGGATACGATGTCATGGATCAACCACGTCAGCAAACCTCACCACCCAATCCCATTAGTTGCCTGTTCCGTCAAGCACAGTCGCCATGTACGGCAAGCATGGGTTGCTGAAATCCAATTCTACCCCGGATCTCTCACAATCATATGATCTACCTCTATCCATAGCGTAAATTCAAGACGCCATCTACGCCCCGAATAATCGCAATGAAATTACCATAGCTGCATATAACTGCAAAGGTGCGTGTTGCGTGTTGCTTCCTTTACGTGTAACTGCCAAATAAATGTTCCGAGCTTCAATTGCGTTGTTTATGTCGGGGGGATAAAAAGGCACGTCCTTTAAACCATTAAACCATTGCTTATCTTATTCATTCTATAGCTCAACGCCCCTCATTTGTCTGCTTTAATTCGTTTAACATAAAGCATTTTGAAAGCACACTATATGTCATTGTGTATGTCTATTACTATTCGTATCATCAATATCATTTACAGTATTCATGTCTCAAGTGTCGATATCCGACAAAAGCCAAAGATCTGTTTCGCAATCGCGGGTCACATTCCAAGTGTACAACCATTATGCTGAATGTATGCCGTGTTATTGATCTCTCTGGAAAGCATAACCAGGGTATGACCATCGTGATATTTAAGTGTCTTGGTTCTATCAGGCCTTAGCACTTTATTCTGTCATTTAGTTTTCTTTTATCAGATCCAGTCGACTTGAAGCCAAAGGACACAATAAAATGAAACAATATCTCATGTGTGTAATATTGATAAGTTAGAACAAATAAAGGAGCAGCTTAGCTTATTGATGCGTTTGGGAAAAGACACTTATATGTTTTGAAGCAGTGACCGAAAACATATTTCGCCTCAAACAAAAGGACCGCCCCTGTGGTCTAGTGGTAGAGCGTCTGCCCGGAAAGCGGAATATTAGTGGTTAGATCCCGGTCGCGCCAATATACTCAAAAGATTGTGCTTCTCGCTTTAGTTGGTTGGTTTGTTGTTTAACGCCGCACATAGCAATATTCCAGCTATATGACGGCGGTCTGTAAATAATCGAGTCTGGACCACACAATCCAGTGATTAATATCATGAGCCTAGATCCACGCAATTGGGATCGATGACATGCAACAACCATGTCAGCGAGCCTGACCACCCGATCCCGTAAGTCGCCTCTTCCGACAAGCACAGTCGCCTGTTACGGCAAGCATGGGTTGCTGAAGACCTATTCTACCCCGGATCTTCACGGGTCAGGATAGAATGTTTGAGGCACAAATTTGCCACCGGTGGTAATATATGCTGATGATAAAGTCGTAATTGTACACTAAGCTTTTAGCAGATATTGCTGGGATATTGCTGAGTGCGGCGTAAATAATAAACCAACCAACCTTCAGCAAACACCAACGTGTTGCCATTCCATTTCGCCAATCCCAGTCTCCTTTGCAACCCGCGTGACCGTGAGAGATTCTTTAAGTACATGTACATAACCGAGGAACGTAGCTCCAACTAACCTACATTTATATTCATACACTGTCGAACACATATAAAAGATTCAACATAACACAACATACAGTTTGACAAGACAACTAACTGGACAGGCTCATTACAGAATGGGCAGCTGGAGGCGACATTGCTTTGACCAGATCTCTACTAAGATCTTGTTAATGTACAGTAAACTACGGTTATAACGAACTCAAAGGGACTACTAATTTTAGTTCGTTATAACCGTAATTCATTATTACCACATATACAGCATAACTACAGAAAACAGTCGGGACTAAAAAGTTAGTTCGTTATATCCGTCAGTTCGTTATAAGCGTGTTCTTTATAACCGTAGTTTACTGTATGTGAGCCTGATTGCCTGTCACGTGCCCTGATATACTATTTTGACTTGTAAAAAACATATCAGACCACGATGTCGTTTCTGTGGTGAGCTGATGATGCAAGCCCGGTCAGCTTCTGAATCGATATTTTCTTGATTTCACAACTTTCTGTCCACAATGTATCCAAAGTCACACTTTACAAACGAACAAACACAGCCTTGAGGCTATGAAGAAGGTAGGTTTTGGGGATACGTTTTTACCTTATAACATTCTCCACATGTGTTATAGGATACAACAATAAAATACACGATAGAAGCTAAACAGATTCGATTATCCAAAATAGGATATGATAAATATGTTGAGGATTTGAGCTATACCTTCAGACAAAGGGAATTATGCAAATGTGCAAATAGTACATCCATGCCAAAGAATATGTTACATGGAATGTTACATGTTACATGGATGTTACCACGAAGCCGATGCATGACGATATATTTATTCCTATATAGTATACATTCAATGGATACTCAGTACTATTCCTATATAGTTTACATTTAAATGATAATCATACGACACGCATAGTCGCCATTTACGGCAAGCATGGGTTGCTGAAGACATATTCCACCCCGAATCTTCACAGGTAGATATGACATGTGGAATCTGATTGGTCAATAGGAGGGACGTAGAAAGCATATAACTCGCAATAGACGCTTGAGGCGCTACGATCAAGCCTGGAAATTCGGGCCTAGTTCGGCAAGGGTGGAAACTGTACTCTTACAGTCACTTAACGCCCTTGCCTCGGGAAGATGCGTACCCAGAGATGGATAAAAAGTCACAAAGCGATCAAGATGGTACGGCTGTCACAGGTCGACGCGTAATGTGTCTGAAAACCCCTGTATCCTCGACGCCATCAACACCCCTAGACCCCCGGGTATGCCAGTGATACTTATATACCCCACCCACAGATACAAAAGACCTCTTTCCTACATATATTAAATGGTAGGAGGCCACAATGTATAAATATAGGTAGGAAGTTCCCATTAAACCACATAATGCTTTGACCCAGATACGATAACCAAAAAAACATAATTTCAACAAAATGAGTGAAGTATATGAATTAGAAAATATGCTACAAGACATAACAAAAATGCTCTGCTGCAAACACATCTCACTGTCTATTTAAAGTTTAGTCGGAGTCTTTTCACATGAGGCCCGCCATGACCATGCTTGTTGATCAACTCACACCATGTGCACTCCGCAAGGATTATCTACCCATACAAGAAATCAGAAGGAACTTCTGACTTGGTACTCCATTTTGTTCAGTCTCATTCCATAGTTCTAAATACCCTAGAGGCATTCACTTTTCCGAAACTATGTCTTAGTTTTGTGTACAAAAGGTATACCACAAAGACAGTTCTCAGATTACTTTTTCCCGAATGTGTTTCGTCCAAATATGACGTGATACAAAAGCCGGTACATCTGAATGACAAATGATTTTGATTAGAGTATCGACAATCATCGAGGTCTTCCCACAATGAATTTTCTATTTTCTATCATCTTGAAACCTATTCTTTGGCACAATTGGCTTTACTTTCAACAGGCTCTTCAGTCTCCCGGTCTTTTTCGTTGATCTCTTTATCTCAGGCTGTGTATGGGTTAATGTTTGAAAGGCTGCCATTAATTCATCAGTTTTAGCTTGCTGCTCCTGCTGCATCTTGTAAAATTGGGCTTGGGTTTCTTGCTTATCGCGTTCTCTGACAGCTTCTATGTCACTGATACGGTTTTCCATTTCTTTTTTATCTGTCTTCATTTCTTTTTTCAGGATAACTAGTTGCTGCTGCTGATCCTTGATGCTACTTTTCAGCACAGCATTTTCCGCCTCTAAGTTACCAACCTTTGCTTGTAATTCTTCAATCTGCTTTTTAGCCTCTGCAAGAAGTTGCTCCTTCTCGTCAAGCTTTTGCTGAAGATTGTTGATAGTTCCAACCGTTTCTCTACTTACGCGAGAAAGCTCCTCTATTTTTTTCAGGGTAACCCTCACACTCTGCAGTTCGTGGGTGACATCGCTTCTTAAATCTCTTAAATCCTCTTTGTTTGCACCAGTCCTCTCAACTTCCTGAACCCTTTCCTTGAGTATAGACATCTCATCATTTAAATCAGTTGCCCTTTCACTGTCAGTTAATAATGACATAACTTCTTTTTCAGATGCACATGATGACTTTAGCAGCTTAGCAAGTTCATTGTAACCCATCACTTCCAGAGATTCAATAAGTCCTTGAAATGAAGTTGGTCCTCTCAAGACAAGTATATTTAAGAGTCTCCTTGCTCTCTCTGGCCGGGTGCGTCCAGCTTCAATTGACTCCATGTCATCCATATCTATCAGTTTCCTTGAAAACAATGGTCCTGTTAGCTCCTTAGCTTCAATTTCCCTCTCGATGTCCAGCATGTGCTTATGTATACAAAGTTCATCCTCGTATTTCATTCTACCTCTCATTGTTGCCATCTTTGCCATAATGATCCTTTATTTGTGTAAGGACCGATTATCTGAAAGATAGTTTGCACATAAAACAAACACATCTTGGAATCTATTTTTCATGTCAAGTGTAAAATGCTTTGTTCTTATAAAAAGAGTTAATTTAACAGTTTTGAATGGTTAACGTGTACATGTATTTTTACAATTGTTATTGAATTGCAGTTATTGAATTGAGTTCTATTGGAAGAAATATAGGACGAGCAAAAGAAAATATAGCAAACTTTAATAACGACAAAATTAAGGGAACTGATGAAAATATACTGACATTGTAATGAAGATAAATGTCTGTAAAAATAATTTCGGGCGTGTAGATCAATAGCTGATGTGTCCACCATCTTAGAGTAGAGTATGCCATCAGGGTGTCATGCATGTGTCGCCCTGATGGCATACTCTATTTCATGATGTACTAATTTCATATAAAGTAATACACAAGAGACCTCGAAGTGTTTGTGATCCATGTAGATGTGATCTGTCCGGGGGCACGGGTGGCCCAGTCGTCTAAGGCGCCGCAATTTGCTGTGCAGAGTTGCGTCCCTTGGGCACGCCAAAAACCTATGATTGTGGGTTCGAATCCCGGTTCACCCCAATTATGTTTCTAGGTTTGCCAGCACCATACCCATGCTTTTGGGTTTCACCGAAGTTGTAAACGTCTGAGACCTGCATCACTTTGGGCTTTCCTCCCACATTAAGCTGACACGCCGTGATATAACTGGAATACTGTTAAAAGTATTAACCCAATTCACTCACTCACTCATGTACTTGCCTGTTAAACAAGAAACCAACCATCTTCCTGAGGCAAGAGAGTTAACTGACTTTAAAAGTCCAGTTTCCACCCTTGCCGAACTAGGCTGGAATTACTGGGCTCGATCGTAGTGCCACCAGTGGCTATTACCAGTTATGTCACTTCTATGCCTCTCCTATGGACCAATCACCTCTCGTATCACTTGCGTTTACTTCACACAAAATGGTGGCGCCCAGTCAGGACAATCTGATCAATAATCAAGATCTGTATAGTGATAAAAGGGGTCTAACATCGCGAAATGCGTCAAATCACGTGTGCACCTTGATTAAAAACATGAAAAGATTTGGAAAATATCTGCTGACAACGAGTTGGCGGTGCACATGCTTTGCACATCCTGCAATCGACCGAAATCTGCACGACAGTTTATGAACCGGATTTCGATTTCGGTGCGCGATTTTGATTGGACTATGCATAGACTCGTTAGGCCAGCCAAAACGTAACTCCATTATACCAACCTAGTTCGGCAAGGGTGGAAACTGGACTTTTATAGCCAGTTAACTCTCTTGCCTCGGGAAGATGCAAACCAACAAACCAACCAACCAACCTGATCTTTTGATGTTAATTACCCTTTCATAAAGGTAAACTAAATAAAGGGCGCAAAAATTACAACTTGGTGATTCCCAGTACATGAAGTACGAGGGTTGGCTGAAACGTTCTGAACTACAGAGGATAGTATAGTACACCCTTAACCCTTAACAGGTCATATATATTATGGACAATAATTTCCATGCTTACATTTTAATCAATTACACAACCACATATTTCTGAAGACATGAAACTCGCTACCTCGCTGTCATGACTGTAGCCAGCTGAAAGTGCAACTCCAAAAGACATCAATGCGAACTATCTGGCAAGCAATTTGCAAAAGACGTAATTTCTGTTGTGGCAGACTCTTTACACCACTAGGTGGAGGAAGCCTTCTACACTAGTTAGACCCAGGCACTTCCGCATCGGTGGTCGAAGTGTGTGGCTCTTGGAAGAGATTACGGGGAAATTATTGAGCAACCGACTCCATCTACGTTGATTATCATTGTTAGTTTTTTTCGCCACTTTCATAAAATAGAATATAATATTATTTAGAAATTATGTGATTGTTCTTTTATACTCAATTACGACAGTAGAAAAAACATTCTTCATAAACAACAAAAGATAACATATAACAATTACTTGTATTCAGTTGATCAGAAATCCATTCTTGTGCATGGAGACATATCAGTTAACCATATAAAGCTCTGCAAGTGAAATACAAAGCATGTAAACAAATCATATTGATATAGAAATTATGAAACTTACAGATACTTACATGAGAATGAATTTGCTATGCACTATACACCACTGAGCAAGTCATTAAATATGCTCCTTCCCAAAAAGACGTTTAAACATAACTGACCTACATGTCTTTGTCGGTAAGCAAACCCTCTTATCAGCTTCATTGTCCCTGGAAACTGATCCTGTAAGTAGATACAATAGATATTATCATATATGAACCAGTGGGTTTTGACAAAGCATGAAGATTGCTCACATGCAATTACCCTTCTACTGTACGCTTATTGAATGTATAATCTACACCGAGGACTACAAACAAATATGATCCAACTATCCGAAGTTATTACCAAATGCAACAGATTCGAGTTCAAAGTACATTCTCATGTTTAACTATCTTTGACTATTCCACATTTTACCGTAACAACTAAGTGATATAACTTCCACTTGATTTTGACAAAAAAATACGTGTTTGCTAAAATGTCAGTATACCTCGCCGATATAGGTTTAGACATTATATCTCACAGATCAGTTGGATTAGCATTGTCTTTAGTAATATGTTACCGTCAAATTACAATATTCAATTTCATAGTTATCCATACCTGTTTGATATCATGATCGAAGAAGTCCTAAGGTTAACAGCGTGTTTTCTATATGATCTCTGGAGACTTTGACATTGACTGGATGTTAGTCAAAGTCTATTCTACTTATGGCTGGATGTCAGTCAAAGTCTATTCTACTTATGGCTGGATGTCAGTCAAAGTCTATTCTACTTGTGGCTGGATGTCAGTCAAAGTCTATTCTACTTATGGCTGGATGTCAGTCAAAGTCTATTCTACTTGTGGCTGGATGTCAGTCAAAGTCTATTCTACTTATGGCTGGATGTCAGTCAAAGTCTATTCTACTTGTGGCTGGATGTCAGTCAAAGTCTATTCTACTTGTGACTGGATGTCAGTCAAAGTCTATTCTACTTATGGCTGGATGTCAGTCAAAGTCTATTCTACTTATGGCTGGATGTCAGTCAGAGTCTATTCTACTTATGGCTGGATGTCAGTCAAAGTCTATTCTACTTATGGCTGGATGTCAGTCAAAGTCTATTCTACTTGTGACTGGATGTCAGTCAAAGTCTATTCTACTTGTGACTGGATGTCAGTCAAAGTCTATTCTACTTATGGCTGGATGTCAGTCAAAGTCTATTCTACTTGTGACTGGATGTCAGTCAAAGTCTATTCTACTTGTGACTGGATGTCAGTCAAGGTCTATTCTACTTGTGACTGGATGTCAGTCAAAGTCTATTCTACTTGTGGCTGGATGTCAGTCAAAGTCTATTCTACTTATGGCTGGATGTCAGTCAGAGTCTATTCTACTTATGGCTGGATGTCAGTCAAAGTCTATTCTACTTATGGCTGGATGTCAGTCAGAGTCTATTCTACTTATGGCTGGATGTCAGTCAAAGTCTATTCTACTTATGGCTGGATGTCAGTCAAAGTCTATTCTACTTGTGACTTGATGTCAGTCAAAGTCTATTCTACTTGTGACTGGATGTCAGTCAAAGTCTATTCTACTTGTGGCTGGATGTCAGTCAAAGTCTATTCTACTTGTGACTGGATGTCAGTCAAAGTCTATTCTACTTGTGACTGGATGTCAGTCAAAGTCTATTTTACTTGTGGCTGGATGTCAGTCAAAGTCTATTCTACTTGTGGTTGGATGTTAGTCAAAGTCTATTCTACTTGTGGCTGGATGTCAGTCAAAGTCTATTCTACTTGTGGCTGGATGTCAGTCAAAGTCTATTCTACTTGTGGCTGGATGTCAGTCAAAGTCTATTCTACTTATGGCTGGATGTCAGTCAAAGTCTATTCTACTTGTGGCTTGATGTCAGTCAAAGTCTATTCTACTCATATTACAAGCGCATGGTTGAGGAAAACAGTTTTGGCAACACCCTCCCTCAGATACAACCAAAGCAGCTCCGCTTCCTCTTTTACAAGAGGCTACTGAAAGCCAACATAACCATCCATGTTACAGTCAGATGGACGTGTGTTTACTGTAATGCAATTTTTCCGATAGCTTGTACAATTTACCAAAATTTGGTTAGGCACTGATTTATACTTAAATTCAAATAAATACATTTCCATTATCAAATTAAACTTAACTCCAAAACACATTTCCACAACCATAAGAAATATCAGCTAAAAAGTATCAATTGTGCTATTCCGACTATATCGTAAGTTTGTGTTTATGAATCATTCTCAAAAAGTGCTGATGCCAGGTATTCTAATGTGGTGAGCATTTCCTGTCCCACTGGTGGCACCCGTCACTAAAACATGCAAATGTAAGTCAGCACAAATATGATCCTACTACCAAATGCAACAGATTCGAGTTCAAAGTACATTCTCATGTTTAACTATCTTTGACTATTCCACATTTTACCGTAACAACTAAGTGATATAACTTCCACTTGATTTTGACAAAAAAAGACGTGTTTGCTAAAATGTCAGTATACCTCGCCGATATAGGTTTAGACATTATATCTCACAGATCAGTTGGATTAGCATTGTCTTTAGTAATATGTTACCGTCAAATTACAATATTCAATTTCATAGTTATCCATACCTGTTTGATATCATGATCGAAGAAGTCCTAAGGTTAACAGCGAGTTTTCTATATGATCTCTGGAGACCTTGACATTCACTGGATGTTAGTCAAAGTCTATTCTACTTATGGCTGGATGTTAGTCAAAGTCTATTCTACTTATGGCTGGATGTTAGTCAAAATCTATTCTACTTATGGCTGGATGTCAGTCAAAGTCTATTCTACTTATGGCCGGATGTTAGTCAAAGTCTATTCTACTTATGGCTGGATGTTAGTCAAAGTCTATTCTACTTGTGGCTGGATGTCAGTCAAAGTCTATTCTACTTGTGGCTGGATGTCAGTCAAAGTCTATTCTACTTATGGCTGGATGTCAGTCAAAGTCTATTCTACTTATGGCTGGATGTCAGTCAAAGTCTATTCTACTTGTGACTGGATGTCAGTCAAAGTCTATTCTACTTATGGCTGGATGTCAGTCAAAGTCTATTCTACTTATGGCTGGATGTCAGTCAGAGTCTATTCTACTTATGGCTGGATGTCAGTCAAAGTCTATTCTACTTATGGCTGGATGTCAGTCAAAGTCTATTCTACTTGTGACTGGATGTCAGTCAAAGTCTATTCTACTTGTGACTGGATGTCAGTCAAAGTCTATTCTACTTATGGCTGGATGTCAGTCAAAGTCTATTCTACTTGTGACTGGATGTCAGTCAAAGTCTATTCTACTTGTGACTGGATGTCAGTCAAAGTCTATTCTACTTGTGACTGGATGTCAGTCAAAGTCTATTCTACTTGTGGCTGGATGTCAGTCAAAGTCTATTCTACTTATGGCTGGATGTCAGTCAGAGTCTATTCTACTTATGGCTGGATGTCAGTCAAAGTCTATTCTACTTATGGCTGGATGTCAGTCAGAGTCTATTCTACTTATGGCTGGATGTCAGTCAAAGTCTATTCTACTTATGGCTGGATGTCAGTCAAAGTCTATTCTACTTGTGACTGGATGTCAGTCAAAGTCTATTCTACTTGTGACTGGATGTCAGTCAAAGTCTATTCTACTTGTGACTGGATGTCAGTCAAAGTCTATTCTACTTGTGTCTGGATGTCAGTCAAAGTCTATTCTACTTGTGGCTGGATGTCAGTCAAAGTCTATTCTACTTGTGGCTGGATGTCAGTCAAAGTCTATTCTACTTGTGGCTGGATGTCAGTCAAAGTCTATTCTACTTATGGCTGGATGTCAGTCAAAGTCTATTCTACTTGTGGCTTGATGTCAGTCAAAGTCTATTCTACTCATATTACAAGCGCATGGTTGAGGAAAACAGTTTTGGCAACACCCTCCCTCAGATACAACCAAAGCAGCTCCGCTTCCTCTTTTACAAGAGGCTACTGAAAGCCAACATAAGCATCCATGTTACAGTCAGATGGACGTGTGTTTACTGTAATGCAATTTTTCCGATAGCTTGTACAATTTACCAAAATTTGGTTAGGCACTGATTTATACTTAAATTCAAATAAATACATTTCCATTATCAAATTAAACTTAACTCCAAAACACATTTCCACAACCATAAGAAATATCAGCTAAAAAGTATCAATTGTGCTATTCCGACTATATCGTAAGTTTGTGTTTATGAATCATTCTCAAAAAGTGCTGATGCCAGGTATTCTAATGTGGTGAGCATTTCCTGTCCCACTGGTGGCACCCGTCACTAAAACATGCAAATGTAAGTCAGCACAAATATGATCCTACTACCAAATGCAACAGATTCGAGTTCAAAGTACATTCTCATGTTTAACTATCTTTGACTATTCCACATTTTACCGTAACAACTAAGTGATATAACTTCCACTTGATTTTGACAAAAAAAAGACGTGTTTGCTAAAATGTCAGTATACCTCGCCGATATAGGTTTAGACATTATATCTCACAGATCAGTTGGATTAGCATTGTCTTTAGTAATATGTTACCGTCAAATTACAATATTCAATTTCATAGTTATCCATACCTGTTTGATATCATGATCGAAGAAGTCCTAAGGTTAACAGCGAGTTTTCTATATGATCTCTGGAGACCTTGACATTCACTGGATGTTAGTCAAAGTCTATTCTACTTATGGCTGGATGTTAGTCAAAGTCTATTCTACTTATGGCTGGATGTTAGTCAAAGTCTATTCTACTTATGGCTGGATGTCAGTCAAAGTCTATTCTACTTATGGCCGGATGTCAGTCAAAGTCTATTCTACTTGTGACTGGATGTCAGTCAAAGTCTATTCTACTTGTGACTGGATGTCAGTCAAAGTCTATTCTACTTGTGGCTGGATGTCAGTCAAAGTCTATTCTACTTGTGACTGGATGTCAGTCAAAGTCTATTCTACTTGTGACTGGATGTCAGTCAAAGTCTATTCTACTTGTGACTGGATGTCAGTCAAAGTCTATTCTACTTGTGGCTGGATGTTAGTCAAAGTCTATTCTACTTGTGGCTGGATGTCAGTCAAAGTCTATTCTACTTGTGGCTGAATGTCAGTCAAAGTCTATTCTACTTGTGGCTGGATGTCAGTCAAAGTCTATTCTACTTATGGCTGGATGTCAGTCAAAGTCTATTCTACTTGTGGCTTGATGTCAGTCAAAGTCTATTCTACTCATATTACAAGCGCATGGTTGAGGAAAACAGTTTTGGCAACACCCTCCCTCAGATACAACCCAAGCAACTCCGCTTCCTCTTTTACAAGAGGCTACTGAAAGCCAACATAACCATCCATGTTACAGTCAGATGGACGTGTGTTTACTGTAATGCAATTTTTCCGATAGCTTGTACAATTTACCAAAATTTGGTTAGGCACTGATTTATACTTAAATTCAAATAAATACATTTCCATTATCAAATTAAACTTAACTCCAAAACACATTTCCACAACCATAAGAAATATCAGCTAAAAAGTATCAATTGTGCTATTCCGACTATATCGTAAGTTTGTGTTTATGAATCATTCTCAAAAAGTGCTGATGCCAGGTATTCTAATGTGGTGAGCATTTCCTGTCCCACTGGTGGCACCCGTCACTAAAACATGCAAATGTAAGTCAGCACAAATATGATCCTACTACCAAATGCAACAGATTCGAGTTCAAAGTACATTCTCATGTTTAACTATCTTTGACTATTCCACATTTTACCGTAACAACTAAGTGATATAACTTCCACTTGATTTTGACAAAAAAAAGACGTGTTTGCTAAAATGTCAGTATACCTCGCCGATATAGGTTTAGACATTATATCTCACAGATCAGTTGGATTAGCATTGTCTTTAGTAATATGTTACCGTCAAATTACAATATTCAATTTCATAGTTATCCATACCTGTTTGATATCATGATCGAAGAAGTCCTAAGGTTAACAGCGAGTTTTCTATATGATCTCTGGAGACCTTGACATTCACTGGATGTTAGTCAAAGTCTATTCTACTTATGGCTGGATGTTAGTCAAAGTCTATTCTACTTATGGCTGGATGTTAGTCAAAGTCTATTCTACTTATGGCTGGATGTCAGTCAAAGTCTATTCTACTTATGGCCGGATGTCAGTCAAAGTCTATTCTACTTGTGACTGGATGTCAGTCAAAGTCTATTCTACTTGTGACTGGATGTCAGTCAAAGTCTATTCTACTTGTGGCTGGATGTCAGTCAAAGTCTATTCTACTTGTGACTGGATGTCAGTCAAAGTCTATTCTACTTGTGACTGGATGTCAGTCAAAGTCTATTCTACTTGTGACTGGATGTCAGTCAAAGTCTATTCTACTTGTGGCTGGATGTTAGTCAAAGTCTATTCTACTTGTGGCTGGATGTCAGTCAAAGTCTATTCTACTTGTGGCTGAATGTCAGTCAAAGTCTATTCTACTTGTGGCTGGATGTCAGTCAAAGTCTATTCTACTTATGGCTGGATGTCAGTCAAAGTCTATTCTACTTGTGGCTTGATGTCAGTCAAAGTCTATTCTACTCATATTACAAGCGCATGGTTGAGGAAAACAGTTTTGGCAACACCCTCCCTCAGATACAACCCAAGCAACTCCGCTTCCTCTTTTACAAGAGGCTACTGAAAGCCAACATAACCATCCATGTTACAGTCAGATGGACGTGTGTTTACTGTAATGCAATTTTTCCGATAGCTTGTACAATTTACCAAAATTTGGTTAGGCACTGATTTATACTTAAATTCAAATAAATACATTTCCATTATCAAATTAAACTTAACTCCAAAACACATTTCCACAACCATAAGAAATATCAGCTAAAAAGTATCAATTGTGCTATTCCGACTATATCGTAAGTTTGTGTTTATGAATCATTCTCAAAAAGTGATGATGCCAGGTATTCTAATGTGGTGAGCATTTCCTGTCCCACTGGTGGCACCCGTCACTAAAACATGCAAATGTAAGTCAGCAGTTCACCTGAAAAAACACGGGAACATGTCGTAAAGTCAAAAGAGGGAATGACATCAGACATCAGATTTCTCACTGATGCGTCAAATTTGGAAACAAAGCTCTTCGAAATCTTCTTGGAAAGAGCATATTCGATTGGACCCCTGAAGTCATGACACCTGGACACCAAAGACTTGAGCTGTTGGGATATCGCTCGACATATGCGGAGAGGTTGACTGTTGAAATCAGATTTCCTCGTTTTGATTTTGCCAATCCGAACAGAAATGCCGATGCATCTGCATAAATAAACAGATCAGCAAGAAGGTGAACACACTTGATGCCCATGGGGATGCCTACTTCTTGCCTAAATGTCCAAATTTCACATAGATCTTATGATGAGGAAGCCCAGCACCCGAACCTTTGAAAATAGATATGTAACTATCCCTATGGTCACCACTTTTAGTGACAAATGCCCCATGGATAAAGGAATCAAGTGGAATAATGTTGCACAAAGTTGATAATCAAATGCTTTGATGTAACTGACGTTATTTTTTGAGTTTACAAACATCCAGGCAAATCCTTTGAAGTTTTGGGTATCCACAGAGTTTTAACTCCACTTAGGCCAAATGCTTACTGTGAATATAAGGAAAGTCCTTACATGATTGTATTAATGATTATGATTAATCTCTGTGACAGGGAGTTGGTGGTACAGTTGTTGGACCCCGCCATACCTCTCTCTTTTCTACGGATTGTTTATGAAGCTTGGGAATACAGTACAAAAAAGGAATAGACATATCGTCAGGTTTTAGAGTCCAAAGTTGATAGTACTGATGCATTTGGTTATGTCAGATCTCGTCCTAAGTTAACATACTGGCCTTATGTAAGGCATTATTTGATGTAACTTATACCATGTTATATTCTCATAATAATGTAGTCATGATTCCATTATAATGGTAATGCTAATTGAAGCCTTGTCAACTACAAACGTTTGATGTAAGGCCACCATATTTGTGGAGCTTGTTTCCGGTTTGGCCAAACATTCCAAAGCAATGTCAAGAACTATACCCTTTTGAACAATTCAAGAATTGTAGGGTAACACTAAAGTACCTTCGATCCCAATTGGCTATGCATGGGTGCTGGTTCAGATCAAAGGTCAAAGCGTTTTACTGACGATCCACATTGCTGAGGAAAGAATACACAAACAATAAAATTTTCCGTTTCCGCTCGCGTTTCCGAACACCTTGAGTGAGTGAGTATGGTTTTTACGCCGCTTTTAGCAGAATTCCAGCAATATCACGGCGGGGGACACCACAAATGGGCTTCACACATTGTACCCATGTCGGGAATCGAACCCGGGTCTTCGGCGTGACGAGCGAATGCTTTAACCACTAGGCTACCCGACCGCCCCCCGAACACCCTGAAGTATAGGTCCTTTTACCCAAAAAAGGCATTCGCTAGACATTCTGTATGTGCTGATAAATAATGTGTCGTGGTTCCCAACACAGTTGAGTGCCCTTTCAAAGACAAAAGTATTCTGTCAAATATATAAGTCCAAGCCAAGCTGGAATAGTAAATGGACCGCCCCTTACCTCTCTATTGAGTACATGGTGACGCATTGAAGGCACGCACACTAAAATATTCATGGATTTTTCTGAAAGGTTCTCAGATCATTCCATATTCTGTATTCGTTGATGATAAGGTTGTGAAAATAGATCTTGTGTCAATGAAACATGAGGACTTACATGACTGTATTGACAACGGTTTATTCAAAGTTGATGAAGGACACCATTCTCCCTGATGTGAATAGAATGTATCCGAAGAACTGACAAACGTGTCATGTTTTGGAAAAGATACTCCTTTTTTCAGAATGTCGAGCAATTGATGATCAATTACATGATGATAGTTTGTGTTTTGTCCATTCCACTAGGAGTGCAATAGCAGCAAGTGCAATCCCTCCACAAACGATAAGGAGTCCTCCTTCGACTTCCCTCAGTGTGATAGGCTTCTGTTGTCTCTCTGTCACACAAGTCAGGTTCTCCTCTGGGTTCCACATCTTCCACAGCACATCGAGAACTCCACTCTCCCATAGACTGGACATCCTAAAGACAGTATGGCCAAATGTACATTTAGTTTATGTAACGCAAATATCAGACAAATAGCGCATTCCACAGAAGGTACACGCAACAGATTCTTTTTATAATATTTCCAGTTGAGGATATACTATTTCTGAATTCTGATTGGCGGTCTTGTTTTCTGTTAGCTTATGATTTGGTTCATTAACATGAGAGTACGTTCTCCTAAATAACTCTTGTGATGCGTGTATATTTTCAAGTGTCTGAATCTTCACTGAAATGTCAAAAAAACGTGTTGTGGTTTGAATCCTTCTGTACGTGGCTATTCTTGAAATTTGGATTGTTTGTTTGTTTGTTTGTTTGTTTGTTGTTTAACGCCGTACTCAGCAATATTCCAGCTATATGACGGAGGTCTGTAAAATAATCGAGTCTGGACCAGACAATCCAGTGATTGACATCACGAGCATCGACCCACGCAATTGGGATCGATGACATGTATCAACCAAGTCAGCGAGCCTGACCACCCGATCCCGTTAGTTGCTGAAGACCATGTATGATCCGTATTGAAGTTATAGTATATAATATGGTCAAACAAATTATATCTTCACTTTAGGATTGCTTTGTATAGATTTAAATTGATACTGGATGATAAATAGAATATATCAAAATTAAAGACATCAGTGATATTAAACATCAACGCCAGAGAATAAGTGCTGCAGTCTCGAATTATCCACCGAAACAGATATAGTACACTTTACATGTATACGACAGCCTCTGTGTTTTTGTGTTAGAGCGTCCGCCCGGACAGCTGAAGGTCCTGGGTTCGATCCCTTGCAGCATCATACCAAAAGACGTTAAAAGATGGTACTTGTTGTTACCCTGCCTGGCGCTCGGCATTTAGGGGTTTAAACAAGGACTGGTCGGCTCGGAGTCAGTATACTGCGTCTGAATGGGGTATTCATGTTAAACTGCGGAAGTGGGCTAGCATTATAAAATCGGCATTGACACACAAACACATTCGTGCATGCACGTCGCTATATAAGTGCAGTAATCGTTGACGCGACGTTAAACCCCATTTAACCTCATTTCCCCGCTACATGTATACATTAATCTGTCGTATGTCAGCAGAATTGTTTCAGAAACCTCACGAGTCAAAGGTTGATAGTGTAATATATACATACACTCTATCGATGTCTTGTTTCAGAGGAAAATCCTTCGGGACAGCAAATGCTAAATGTTCCCAAGATAAACGCTCATTCAGATATGCAAGGCTGCAGTCCTCTCTGATATATCGTCTTGCAGAAAGTTCATAACAAATATATGCATATTTTCCCCTTCTAACTCTCTCTATATGCATGTCTTCGTCATTTGTGACCAACAGTGGGTCTTCCTCCTGAAATTTCTTCATCTTTCCCAATAGTCGCTGGACGTCGGGTCTTTCTGAAGTCTAGGACAAAAAGATTGATAGATCAATGCTTATTACCAATCAATATATACTGTGTCATAAAATATGTATGAACATTTCTGCCTCATATTGTAACACAAAAAAGCAAGGCGTAATTTCAAATGTTAGACAGAGAGTTCTCAACTATTATGAATGATAGTGGAACAAAATTACGCAATTATTCAACATTACGAAATGCCACGCCTGGCCAGTGGTATGCTTGAAGCAGGATCGTGTCAACGTGATGTTGCAAGACAATTTAACGTCCACAGAAACACCATTTGGTGTTATGGCAACGTGGCAACAGACGAATGCAGTCAGAGACCATCCTCGGAGTTGCAAGCCACGCATAACCAATAATCGACATGGCATGTTTTGTTTTTTTATGAAATCACGCATTTTCTTAAGTCAGCATGGCAAATCAAACCATTTGAACACTTACATGAGTCTTTTATCTGTTGCAAACCGAAATTGTTTCAGATTTGGTAAAAAACATAACTTTGCATTAAACTTATTCAATGATTGTGGAATGTGTTCAAGATGGTGAAAAAAGACCAACCTGCAGAATGCTGAATGATATGCCGCTGGTTATCATCCCGACATCATAATCACTATCCACTAGTTCATTCAAGTTAAGGAATGGTGGTTGACGGGTCTGTGCTGAGAGGGCAGCTATGAGGTTGGCGCAGTATGTGGACGTCATTATCACCACCAACAGCCACCACGACGCCAACAGTGCCTTTCCAGCGCTACTTCTTGGACTGACGCCTCTACCTGTAGCGGCTATAAATTCATGCATCAGTGTCTCGTTCCTTTAATTCATACATTGATTTGTTTGATAATTGACACTGTTCTGTCCAGGCCTGAAGATGTTGGAAACATATATCTGGAAACTCAACAACAAAAGTTCCTGTGACAGCAATATTTTAGTGTATCTTTCAAACAAGTAAAGTTTGTTTTTCAATATTGTAGTACATGTATGGAATCAAGTCACATTCCATGCAAAAGTTGACTTTTATGTAAGCCCCATGCATTTCACTACCAAGAATGGGTATAAAAACATGTGCGTTAAAGGGATTCTATATGCATTGTTTAGCATCGTGCTGACAACAACCACTCAGAAAAACAACAAAATTACGCAATTAGTCAACATTACGAAATGCCACGCCTGGCCAGTGGTATTCTTGAAGCAGGATCGAGTCAACGTGATGTTGCAAGACAATGTAACGTCCACAGAAACACCATTTGGTGTTTATGGCAACGTTGGCAACAGACGAATGCAGTCAGCGACCATCCACGGAGTGGCAGGCTACGCGTAACCAATAATCGACAAGACAACTGGATTCGAACAACACACCTACGATATCGATTCCAGCCAGCAACAGTGACTTCAACGAATGTCTTCATAAACCGTACGTCGTCGCCTCAGATGTGCAGGGATTGTCGCAAGAAGACCCGCCAGACGTCCCATTTTAACAGGAAAGCACGTCTACAGTGGTGCAGACAGCGTCTACGCTGGACGGCCATGCAGTGGGGACAAGTCCTATTCACTGACGAGTCCCGTTTTCACCTCAGCCATAGCGATGGACGGATTCGAGTGTACCGACGTCGAGGTGAACGTTACGTCAATCATTGTGTCATTGAAGAAGATCCGTTCGGGGGCGGCAGCGTTATGGTAGGGGGGGGGGGGGGGGGGGGGATTACAGCAAGACAGAGGACCCGTTTGATAGTGGTAGAGGGAAATCTCAATGGACAGCGCTACCGCGACAAGATCATCGGCCCTGATGTTCTACCGTTTTTGCGTCGTCATGGCTCAGGCATTACCTTTCTACATGACAACGCCCGGCCTCATATTGCTCGACTTGTTCAGGATTCTCTTCAATAAAACAACGTGAATGTCATCCCCTGGCCGGCCCGCTCCCCTGATCTCTCACCAATCGAGCACATGTGGGATGAGATGGATCGGCGCCTTCGACGTCAACCACGTGTTCCACAGACACTCCAGGAACTTCGAAACATGTTCCAGCAGATATGGACAGATATCCCACAGGACTTTGTGGGAGCCTGGTCCATTAATGAGACGAAGATGTGTTGCTTGCATCGCAACCAGAGGTGTACACACACGCTATTGATTTATAAATTGTCAGTTTGGCATGTTCATGGGTTTTTTTTATGAAATCACGCATTTTCTGAAGTCAGTATGGCAAAGTAAACCATTTGAACACTTACATGAGTCTTTGATCTGTTGCAAACCGAAATTGTTTCAGATTTGGTAGAAAACATAACTTTGCAATAAACTTATTCAATGTCACAGGAACTTTTGTTGTTCAGTATATATATAGTTACCTTACGACATGACCTTATGTTTCTCATCGTAAAGAAAATCTTAATCGTATTATTTGCAATATCATTTTTCTATTGTATTAATGTACCTGCTTCTAAGCTTTTGTAAAACTTCAGTGACGTCAGCATGGCCATTGTGCAGGTGGTGAAAGCCGTACTTCTTAATTCGGTTGTGGGGGAGAGGGGGGTCACGAGTGGCCCAGTCGCCTAAGCAGCCGCGATTCGCTGTGCAGAGTTGCGTCCCTTGGACACGCCAGAAACCAATGATTGTGGGTTCGAATCCCGGTTCGCCCCAATTATGTTTCTAGGTTTGTCAGCACCATACCCGTGCTAGTGGGTTTCACCGAAGTGGTAAACGTCTGAGACTTGCATCACTTCGGGCTTTCCTCCCACAATAAGCTGACCAGTTTCCACCCTTGCCGAACTACTGGGCTCGATCGTAGTGCCACCAGTGGCTATTACGAGTTATGTCCCTTCTAAACCTCTCATATGGACTAGTCAGATTCCACCTCTCGTATCACTTGCGTTTGCTTCACACAAAATGGTGGCGCCCAGTCAGGACGATCTAATCGATAACCAAGATCTATATCGTGATAAAACGGGTCTTACATCGCGAAATGCATCAAATCACGTGAGCACCTTGATTAAAAACATGAAAAGATCTGCTGACAACGAGTTGGCGGTGTACATGCTTTGCAAATCCTGCAATCGACCGAAATCTGCACGACAGTTTACGAACCGGATTTCGATTTCGGTGCGCGATTTTGATTGGACTATGCATAGACTCGTTAGTCCAGCCAAAATGTAACTCCATAATACCAGCCTAGTTCGGGAAACTGGACTTGTATAGTCAGTTTACTCTCTTGCCTCGGGAAGATGTAAGCTGACACGCTGTGATATAACTGGAATACTGTTAAAAGCGGCGTTAAACCCAACAAACTAATTCATAAACTGAGTGAATAACGACAAACCTTGTTTGAATAAAGAACCAACGATGCCCCATCCTATCCCCAGACATCGACGCACACGGCTGGCCTTTCTTGTCTTCTGTCTGTTCCTGCTGTTTGGCTGGACACTCTCGAGAAGGAGCATTATGACAGGGAGAACCAGGACTACACTGAGATACACAACGTTAACAATAGGACTTAGTGGACGTGTCAGGAGAAAGAATGAGTTCTCCGTGCCGGAGGGCTCCTTGTACAGTATCACCAGGGCATCAGTTTTAATCATAGGGAATATGTAGTCCACTACCTTTGCCCGCCCTTCATGAACTGTCAAATCACTTGCCACCATGTCGACCTCCTTTAACAAATGTAGAATCAACATATTTTATATGGTAACCTTCATACAGACAGACCGCCTCCGTGGTCTAGTGGTAGAGCGTCTGCCCGGAGAGCGGAAGGTCCGGGGTTCGATCCCCGGCCGTGTCATACAAAAAGTCGTTAAAAGATGGTACTTGTTGTTACCCTGTCTGGCGCTCGGCATTAAGGGGATACAATAAGGACTGGTCGGCTCGGAGTCAGTATACTGTGTCTGAGTGGGGTATTCATGTTAAACTGCGGCATGGTATCTCAGTGAGCTAGCACTTTAAATAGGCATCAGTCCGGACTAGTACAAGCAGCCACACACACACACACACACACGTGCATGCACGTCACTATATAAGTGCAATAATCTTGGACACGACGTTAAACCCAATTTCACCTCACCTCACCTCACCTCACCTCACCTCACCTCATACAGACACTCTCTCACATGACAGCACCTTTGCTATGTAGAGTCTCTTCCTTCAAGTCGTGTAACGAGTCGTTTCACGCTCCTGGAGGATTCGAACCCCAGATCCGTCATGAGTATGATGATTGGCCAATCCGGTTACGTGAGTGAGAAAACAATAGTAAACCAAAGTGATAGGTCTTTATAGAACACTAGAAAGGCGTATTCAGTTTTTATTCATGCTGCCCAGTCAAGGGGTCATTGGCAGCCAGAGATGTACAGAGTTGTGTCCCTTAACTGCCACGATCCGCTGGACGTGTACTCGAATGTAGGTACCATGTCAGAACCATACCCGTGCTTGAATGCTAAAGGATTATGACATCCGTAACTTCAGTATTTTCACTCACTGTAAGCTCATACGTTACATGTGAAAAACTGTTCAATGCAGAGTTAAATATTAACATACTCGCTCCTTCACATATTTCAATACTCAGTGTATATCAATGCAGTTTCCGGTTGGTGAATATTAAAAAAATAACATGTGGCTATGCGTTCTTTAATACCACAAAACTCGAGCACTGTGCACGCTTGAGTACTTGATTGGTCAGGGGGGCACGGGTGGCCCAGTCGTCTAAGGCGCCGTGATTCGCTGTGCAGAGTTGCGTCCCTTGGGCACGCCAGAAACCTATGATTGTGGGTTCGAATCCCGGTTCGCCCCGATTAGGTTTCTAGGTTTGTCAGCACCATACCCGTGCTCGTGGGTTTCACCGAAGTGGTAAACGTCTGAGACCTGCATCACTTCGGGCTTTCCTTCCACATTAGGCTGACACGCCGTGATATAACTGGAATAATGTTAAAAGCGGCATTAAACCCAACTCACTCACTCACAATTGATTGGTCAGAGTGCGCTGGTTTTCAGCTCGAAGGTTTGCGCGTGTCAGCATATTTCAAGCCATAGATGCATAAAAGGGTGTTTCACGTGTCTTTGTATTCACAAAGAGTGGGTGAGTGAGTTAAAATTTAACGTCGCATCGGCATTATTTCAGCCATATAGCGACGAGACCAAGTTAATATATTCACAATTGAGTAATTTATGCAAAGTAATATTTAAAAGCAATTTATGAAAAAAAACATATTTGAGCATACTATATTTAAAAACGATTCATGAAACATAGTTGAGCATAACAATATCATGTATACAGTTTTAAAACATATATAGGCCACCAGTAACCAAAGCTAGGCCACCTCGCTGGGGATCGTGGGGACTTAAAGTACCTCTGCTTCCTGCATGATACCCCAGCAGGATTTACGTCATCACTTTAGCTATTGGTGGTTGCGCGGAAATATAGCCAATATTAAAAAATGCTCAGCATTGGGTCAGCTTAAAAACATTGGTTGATGATAGTTTCATCGATTATGATTACGATTAGGATTACGTGTCGCATAGGGGGACAATAATTTTACGATACTTTAATCCCCTAGACAGAGCCTTCAATAAAGTCAGTTGATAATAACTTAACACCAGATTTAAAAACAAACTTTTAATTATTCACATACAAATTTCTTTTAAATAGCTGATGATAAGATGCCCGCTGACACTGGATTTGATATTTCAGATTTGCGCTTTGATAATGTGAATCCCTTGGAATTGCAAAGTCCACACAGTCAGTATTCACAAAGAAGCTCATGAAACGTATCTTGGGGAATAGGCAATGAAGAAATTAATTAATGTCATATTCTTATTAATTGGAAATTTCCCTTGCAGGAATATCTG